CTTGTGGGAGTCAACAAAGCTGGTCTGTGCCACCCCGAGACTCTGCCCATCCAAGCGGAATACAGAAACCCTCCTAGCTGAGACACTTCTGATCCTCATAGCCAATTGGCTTGGAGATCAACGCTTCCCAGTGATACCAACAACAAGCAAGGCTTAACAACAAGACTGCACACACATCCCACAAAGGGCTATACCAAGACTGTCCACCTCAGGTAACTGGGAGGCTGACTCACTGAACTATATAGGACACCTTAGCACACAAAGCCACCCTACCAACTCAGGGAAGCTGTTAAAAATGCCAAGACAAGGAAATAGATCACAAACAAAAGAAATGGAGGAAAAAAAGAGACTGGATATAGAGTTCAAAACTACGCTTATAAGGTTTTTCAAGAATTTCCTAGAAAAGGTCGATAAGACCTATGAGGAGATAAAAAGGGGTCAACAAGAACTAATAAGGGATCAACAAGAAATAATAAGGGATCAATAAGAAATAAAGAATACATTGTCTGAAATAAAAAATATTATATAGAGTCCTAAAAACAAAATGGAAGATCGCAAGAATCAAGTCAAAGATTTGGAACATAAAGAGTCAGAAGACACTCCTCTGCAGAAGCAAGAAGACAAGAGAATACAGAAAATTGAAGATAATGTAAGAAACCTCTGGGACGACTTCAAGCGAACCAACATCAGAATTATGGGGGTCCCAGAAGAAGAGAGAGAGCACAAGATACTGAAAACATACTGGAAGAAATAGTGACAGAAAACTTCCCCCACCTGGTGAAAGAAATAGACTTGCAAGTCCAGGAAGCGCACAGAACTCCAAACAAAAGGAATCCAAAGAAGACCACACCAAGACACATCATAATTAAAATTCCAAGAGCAAAAGACAAAGAGAGAATATAAAAAGCAGCAAGAGAAAAGCAGGTAGTTACCTATAAAGAGCACCCATACGATTGTCAGCTGATTTCTCAATAGAAACCATGCAGGCTAGACGAGAATGGCAAGAAATATTCAAGGTGATGAATAGCAAGAACCTACAGCCAAAGATAATCTACCCAGCAAAGCTATCACTCAGAATCGAAGGCCAGATAAAGAGCTTCACTAATAAAAAAAAGCTAAAGGACTTCATCACTGCCAAACCAGAATTATATGAATTGCTGAAGGGGGTTCTTTCGGAAGAGAAAGTAAATAAAGATAAAAACTATGAACAACAAATACCTAACTATCAACAAGTGAATCTAAAAACTAAGGGAATTAAAAAAAAATCTGATGAACAATATTAATTGGTGAATATAATAGAATCAGAGGTATGGAAGGGGAGTGGACTGACGATTCTCAGGGAAAAGGGGAGAGGGGGATGTGGGAAGAGACTGAACATAAACTGTGCACCTATGGATGAGGACAATGGGGGGTGGGGAAAGGACAGAGGATGATGGGATGGGAACCTGGTGGAGGGGAGCAATGGAGGGGGGGGGGAATGAGGAACATTTGTAATACTATGAACAATAAAGATTTATTAAAAAATAATTAAACATAAAATAAAATAAATAAATTATTGTTGAAAAAAAAAGAAAGAAAGAAACAGCAACGCACCCTTTCACGAAATAGCACTCACAATCAGACCACTTATTGAATGCCTGCTTTTCAGAACATAAATGCAAACTCCACTTGGACACTGAGGTGAAATGTGATCTCCATCACTATGCTGTAGCTTATTGAATGTCTCTATAATATTTTTAGAAAAACTCAGAAAAACCGCTATACAGTTCATGAATCCAATCATAATAAAGCAGCCACCTTAATATTATGCGACAATTTCATTTACTTGGTTTGTAAAGCATTAAATAACCTAAGAACTATACTATGAAATGCACACCCATGCTAATATTGTACACAATACTTTTGTTTTGCTTTGTTTTGTTTTCCCAAGTAAAAGTTGAAAACTACAAAAGATGAAATGTAAGCTCTCGGGTTCTTTCACTCTCATTTTTTAACAGGCCACCCCTCTAAAAAACACCTTGTTTGTTTTCTTCATTCTGCCTCATACAGGTAGACTGTAAAAGCTGTACCTAAAGACTGATGGTCCTCTGGGCACAAAAGATAATTGTGATGGATCTGAAATGGCAGTTCTTGTCTCTTCTACTATGTAGACTTTGCTTTCTGGAAACAGTTTAAAAAAAAAAAAGAGGCGCTATTTATACCTGTATCTTGGTAAATAAGAGCTATGCAAATTCAACCTCTAAATGGGCAATCAGTGATCGACTGAAAAAGAGACAGCACCCGGTATTGTTTTTGGTTTTTGTCTGTGACTTCATCATTTTCTAAACTATACATGACATGAAGCATCTGAGTCAAAGTACTTCTTATTTTTGTTCCTTTTTTATCTGCTGAAATGGTTTAAAGAATTGTTTCTATACGAATTCTAGTTAAAGACTGATTTACCTTGGATGCAGAAGAAATATGAGGTAGAGGTGACAGAAAAATAGCTATTGGCTTTCGGGCCAATCCTCCAGGTCTCTTGCTTGCTTTTCCCTGAACTTGTTAGACAGTTACAATAGTTGCTACTATGGCCTCCAGCAGGACAACACTGAACCTAGTGTTTAGTCTGTTTTGCTGTTGTTATTGTTGTTGATTTTTTTTGTAAAAAAAATAAAAAATAAAAATACTGCTGCCTGAAATCATGGGATGGGTATTCATAAAAATAAAACAAACAAACAAAAAAAAAAACAAAAAAAAAATCAGAAAGACAAAACTACAATATTCTTCTATTTATTTAACAACCTTTTACTGAGAATCTACTATGTGCCAGGCACTGGGTCCATGAGCTAAGGAGACTCAGTAACCTGCCTAATAAGGATATACTCCTATATTTCGGGAAGCCTTTCTCAAATTTCCACACCAATTCTGGGCAATGCCAAGGAGTTCAGGATTCAAAGAATCTAATGAGGATCATTTTAAGCCAATTTGAATGATCCAAAATGGAAAACAACATCCAGCAAACTGCCAGTCTCTAGGATGTGCCCATGTTCTAAGGAGATCAATTAGCTTGCAGGAAGGCTCTAGTACCAACCCCCTGAATTTCTGTTTAGACTGCTTTTCTCAATTGGAAGCCTTTTCTTTCTGAGCTGCTGTAGTCCACCCACTGCGAGCATTTAAAAAAACAAACAAAAAACTCCTGCCTAAAATAAGAAACAAATCACTTCTACTCATGAACCAACTTAATGCTGATGGAAGAAGGGCTTGAGAGTGGACATAATATTTTAACAAACATGCCTAATTTATTCCTAAAACTCTAATCAGAATCCTTTTTGTTTCCTTAACACTTGGTTCTCATGGCTGTTATACAGAGTAAAGAGTTCTGGGATTACATGCTTGAGTTTATCATATACATATAGAGGGAGTATATATATATATATATATATATATATATATATATATATATATGTCATGTATTTCTGTATGCAAACTTACATATACATGTTCATATAAACACATAATATATATGTATATACATGAATATATAGTATACATATACATATATATACAGGTACATTTTGTATATTCACATATATACAACACACACACACACACACACACACACACACACACCGCTAAATTAAGCTTCATTTTATTCCTGCTTCTTTTTTAGTTCTGAGCAATGTAGTCTTTTTGTCAAAGTTAACTGCCTGGAGTTGAGCATTCAGAGTCCTGGCTCTATTACTGAGCCTGGCAGACATCACTTAATACAAAAAATTGTTCAGTTTATTGTGAACCTTTTTTCTTTCATTCTTAAAATGGGAAAAATGCTATAAAAATAGGTATTTTCCTATAAACCTCCAGGGAGAAATCAATGCATAGCTGTATAAAATGTTCTAACATGACAACTAATTTGCTCATGCATGCACATGTGTGTACTTGTGTGTATGTGCCCAGACAAATTGGAAAAACCTTTATTTCTCAAGTAAAATTACTTCTCAGTTTATATTACTTTCCCCATCAGTATTTTAAAAAGAGTCACTCAATATAATACAAAGTAGAACTAAATGATGGATTTATACAGGGTGTCCCAAAATGTATATACATTTTAACAGCTGATAGCTCAATTTTGAAAATGAAATGTATTTTAATATGCCTTTACAATTATACAAAATATGTGTATAAAAATTTGGGGGACATACTATGTTGTGTCTGTACTAGAATGATCTGAAAAACTACCTTTTCCTATCTATTTTAAGTCACATGGATATTATTTAACACCTGACAATGTAATTGATAACTTGTTTATCTTAATTCTCAAAGTTGCCTTTCCAACATTGTTATTTGGCTATCACGAGGCAATATACAACCATTCTGAAAGAGCAGGATGCCATGGAGACCGCTGGTTTCCTTAATATCTAAAAGCCCACATTAATAGAAATCTAATTTCTCTCCTTTTGATTATAATTTGTGTTTGTTTGTTGTTTGGTCGGTTGGCAATTAAACCTTTTGCTCCCACACATTTTCATAGAGGAAAAAATGTCCACCTCATTTTATCTGAGACAGAGGTTTCTTTCTAGTACTGAAGTGAGAACCACATCACACCTGGGATAAGAATACAAATCCCACAAAGAAACAAGACTTCTGATTTATCTTTTCTTGACATCACATACATTTATAATGGGAGGGGAAATGCATCTGTTCAACCTACTAAACATTTTTTATAAGAAAACTTAACAGCAGGGAAGCACCTTGATGAAGTAAAAGTGATCTTAGCCTGCATGCTCTTTCAGACACTTGATAGTTTTAACACAGCAGCGACCATTATCTGACTTTAATTACAGCATCAAATTACTTGTCAAACATGTACTGTAACTTATTCTTGTCTGTTCTGCCCAACCCCTGTTTGTAATCCTATCAGAAAACATTATTTATCTCAAAACAGAAAAATTCAGCTACGTTCCTGAATTTATTGTGCTATAGGCAGGAAAAGTATAAAATTTTAGGAATGAAAATCTTCTCACCTCTTTCTTCCTTCCACTCCATCTCACATAAGAATACAAGTGGGCGAAGAACAAAATTATACTTCAAACTATATTGTCAGCATCTGTATAGCAACCAAGAGACTATCACCGTCCCAACAAGCGCAGCACTGTACAGCCTCAACAGACAAAACCTTTTTTCCCCCAAGCTGCTATGATTATTTTTTCATATTGCAGAGCTGGGCCAATAATAATGCAACTACTGGTCAAAAGGATAAATTACACTAGTGCCTGGAAGTACAATGAAAAGCAAGAAAACCAATTTGAGGCGAATAGAATTCAGGCAATTAGGATCTGTACATTCTAATCTACTTTAAATGTTTAGGTTCTTGCAAGCACACAAAAATGTCTTCTGATTAAATTAAAAGCTATGCACAAAACCCGCTCCTTTGTGAGTTTTCAAATGATTTTTTTTTTTCATCTTACTGTAACACTTATTAAGCACCTTCTTTGTGCAAAGTATTGCTTAGGTAAAGGGTAGGTGCAAGGGAATACCAAATATATTTTGGATACCAGCTCATAACCAGAGGTTTTATCCTCCTTAAAAGGCAGCTGCTATGAAATGTCTGGTGTAGACAGTCAAGGGGGAAAAAAGGTACTTTATAATAATCCTGGGAATCATTATGGGTGCTAAAAGCAGCGAAGGAAATTAGAGAAATGAATTAGCTCGTAGAAGTAAAGTAAAGCATGCAATTACTACCTGGAGCCCATAGTGCGGGGTGCCCCCCAAAATGTATACACACTTTGAATAATTTTTAATTCCAATGGGTTAAATTTGAAAATATAAAATAAAATAAAATAAACATCAATTGATCTATCAGCTGTAAAGGGTATATATATATCTTTTGGGGGACACCCTCTATATCAATTCTCTCTCAAAATAGTTTACGAACTCCTTCAATTATATTTTCATACACGGTCTTCCATCCCATCATTATATGAAGCTTCAGATGTTAACTGGCAAAATTTCCTTCTATGGTTTCTGACACCAGTTTAACTTGTCTCTTCTGGCCTCAAAGTTTAGTATTTTCACTTTTTCCCCCAAAGGATGCATTTAGTCAGAAGTATTTCAGCAAACAAGGCAGCAAGCACATCAGGAAGCGAAGCTTGCTGAACTGGGATCTAAATATGTAATCACTAAAAAGGAGAGAAGTTGCTTTTGGTCACCTCTCTCTCCACCCCTTGCAAAACTGCAAGTATCTATTGCTTTACCTGCGGGAACTCATCTTTCAGATGTGAAGCAATACATTGCTCCATACACTCCTTTCAACAATCATCCTAAAAACGGATGCCACATTTATTATAGAGTAAATTCTGCAGTTCACTTTATTTTTTTTCTTTCTAGGTATTTTAGCACGTAGGTAGGAAAACTGCACTGTTCTGTACTAGTGGTAAACAATACCTTTCCCCACCCCCCTCCCAGAAGCTTGCTAAATTTAATTTCAAGACAATGCTAGCCAAGTAGCTTCTATTGTTTGGGGAGAAGTAAAAAGTAGAGAGACATAGTATATTAGCTGGGCTCTGGGCAAATGTCCCTTTAGGCAATGTTTAGGGAAGTGTCTATGGATATGAAGGCGGGCCCCCAAAATATTGCATATTGGAAACAAATTTAAAACAACCTTAAAAGTATTTAACATTTGCATAAGCAAAAGAGAAAAATGTGAATATAATCAGAGAAATCTGAGTAAACTTTATCTTTAGCATGCATTTCATTAGAGGGGAAAAACCCCTCATACATGAACTATATGAAGCATTGATGTCTAATCATTTGTATCAGTATTTCAAAACAGCCTGCTTTCCAATAGTTATATCAGTAATCAGCCAAAGACTTATTGATTAAACCAGGGAGTCAACAGAGTGAAAAATCAGCAATCATTTCAACATTAAATCTTGGAATAGATTTGTTTTAATTAATGCTTTCCCATGAACACAATATACATAGGGGACCGGTGCCATTCACAAACACTAGCGATTTAAGGACATCTAAGAAATATAAAGAACTCTTCGAAAACATAGTCCCTTAATTCAACAGCAACACAATAAATTCACCCTCACAGTTGTCTCTATACCAAATCATTGGTTAGTAGTCAGAAAAACACATAGATCTACTACAGTAAAGATAAAACTATACAAATGAATCACTTCATGTTAACTTTCATTACTCGTCTTGCTCTAATTTTGTTTTCTTACCATACAAGCCTATTGCGTAAATGATGAACAGTAAAGTTTTTCATAGTTTAATAGTTTGAATAGTCTCCTAAAATCTACCGCCCTGCCCTCCAGATGTTGAGAGTACAAGGAAGCTGCCCAAATGCGTTGATCTAGAGCGGCAAAAGGCAAGGGCTGCAAGGAATCTGTGGCATTGCTCTGACCGCGAGCGAAATTAGTTGTTAAACGCATTTGCTGAGGATAGGCCATGCAAGAAGTTTCTTTAAATTACTATATATAACAGATATTACATATGTAGAAATAGAAGAAAATAGAAATATAAAAAAAAAGAAAGGAAGAACAAGAGGAAGAGAGATCAAAGCCTTAACACTGCAACAAAGTTGCAGGGTTCATTTCCCTTCTTTTGCCATTGTGAAAAAATAATAATAATAAAGTTGAAAAGGCATTCTATTTCCTTGGTGTCCTAGGAAGCCAGCCACTCTCAGAAACCCCAATTCATCTCCAGCCTTACCTGATGCAGCGAGAGCGAACCCTGAGGTTAAGAGGTCCTGCTCTCAGCCGCAGAGGCAGCGGCAGCGGCGGCAGCGGCACATGCCATCTGTTAGCTACAGAAGCAGAAGCAGCGCTGCGCGAGGTGGCCCAGGTGCCCAGAGAGCCCTTAGCGGGGGTGTATACCAAATGCCGCCATTTTAAAGCGAGGCTCTGAAATCAGTAGATATAAGCAAATTAAAACCCGCCCCACCTACATAACTCCGCGGCTGGGACGCGCAACCCGGTTCCCAGTCTGCCGCTGCGGGGTATAACATGTCACGCCGAGAGACACCCAGACGGAAGTGCTAATCCCTCCGCTCCCCTCCGCCCCCTATCCCGCTGTGCATTTGCAAGCCTACTTTCAGGCCCAGAAGAAGTCATATTTTCTTGTCTCCAAAACACGGGGACCCTTTCCAGGGCCGATCCGGCGTGCTGAGGGGCAGAGGGGCCACGGGCCGGCCTCCCCTCTTCTTGCATGCTCTTGGTTCAGTCCGCTCGGAGCACCCGTCGGAGCTCCTCAGCGCCCTCCTGGCTACAGGCTGGCTTGGGGCTCCCGCCTGGCAAGCGGCTGCCATGGCAACCCGGGCCCAAACCCCGCCCGCCCAGACCAAAGGCGTGCCCTCCACCAGCTGTGCCCCGGCGGAGCCCGCCGACCCCAGCAGTTCGGCCCAGCGCGTCCGCCCTCCGGGTGCCCCATGCCCCCAGACCGGGCACGCCCAGGGATCGGCGCTAGCGAGGGGACTTTGGGTGCCAAAACGACAACTCCTGCCAAACTGTCCAGTAGATTAAACCAGGGAGTCAAAAGAGTGATTCCCAGGCCGCCCCACCCGTCCAGGTAGCCCCAGTGCGCCCCGCACAGCTTGCAGCCACCCTCACCTGGTTCCCGCCGCTGGACTGGCACAAAGTCGCCTAGTGCCACCCCGGGCACCAGTGCCCACCCTGTGGCTGTCCGTCCTCCTCCTGCTGGTTGCTCCCCAAAAAAGCGCCAAAAAGTCGAGCTCCTGATCACGCTCCTAGAGCAGGCACTTTCTTCCTGTAGGGCGCTGTTTCAGAGCCAACTATATTCTTTGTGTGATTCGTTCATTCGTGCAGGGTTCCCTGAGAGCGCAGCGCGGGCTTTATTCTCAGGGGGTGTGGCGCCTCTGCCCCAACCCGGTGGCCCAGCCCCCGCTGCAAATGCTCTTTGTCGTTTCATTATTAAAGGAAGGGGGGCAAATCATAAGCTCAGGTTTTACAAAAGTGAAAACAAACAGCTTGCACACATCCCAGGGTGGGGGTAAAGGGCAGCAAAGTTTCTACAGCCTCGGGAACTAAAATGCCAATAAGAAATGCAGCGTGATTCAAAGCTGTAGTCTTTTTTTTTTTCTTTCACTTTTTTTAAATTAAGGTATTATATGTGTACATATCTTACCAATCCCCACCCCACTCCCATACATGCCCTCCCTCCCCAGAGTTTTGTGTCCATTGGTTATGGTTATAAAAAGCATGCATACAAGTCTTTAGGTCGATCTCTTATCCCTCCCCCCCCCCCCCAATATCTCCCTACCCTCAGATACAGGTACGGTGAAATAGGTAACTGTTTTTTAAAATGGCTTTAGTCAATAAATATTATCAACTCACTGAAGGCAGAAAAGAAAGAAAGAAAGAAAGAAAGAAAGAAAGAAAGAAAGAAAGAAAGAAAGAAAGAAAGAAAGAAAGAAAGAAAGAAAGAAAGAAAGAAAGAAAGAAAGAAAGAAAAGAGAGAGAGAGAGAGAGAGAGAGAGAGAGAGAGAGAGAGAGAGAGAGAGAGAGAGAGAGGAAGGAAGGAAGGAAGGAGGAAAGGAAAGGAAAGGAAAGGAAAGGAAAGGAAAGGAAAGGAAAGGAAAGGAAAGGAAAGGAAAGGAAAGGAAAGGAAAGGAAAGGAAAGGAAAGGAAAGGAAAGGAAAGGAAAGGAAAGGAAAGGAAAAGGAAAATACTCACCAGCTGCTATTCTGGATCCTCTCTCTTCTATAAATTGTTCAGTCCTTTATTTCCTTTTAAGAAACTCACAGACGGAAATGTTGATATGTGTGAATAGTTCCCCTTCTTCAACAGAGTGTGAAGGGAATGAGGAGCCCTAAGGTAGAGTTCCAGATACTTTTGAGTAAGAAATAAGCAATGCAAATGCAATTTTATATTTTGATTAAAAGTGTGCATCTGGACAACTAAATTACAGGTTTCAACTTAATGAAAATGTAATAGGAACACCAGTTGTCTCTTAATTGGAACCTAACAATAATAAATGCACTCTCTTATTTAATTTTACCAGGACAATCGTAGTATTGCACATGTATTCAGGAGTCTCAGTGACAAGCTTAGCAGTGCATGTGCTGCTTTTCTGCAATGAACTGCTTCATCCTCGTACAAGTGTCTAGATGCTCTGCAGAAAGAGCAAAGCCATCACAGGAGATATTTAAGCAGCAGTTAGATTGAGGAGTGGAGTGAATGCTCAGGCTAATTATATATTTTTTCATTCTGCCAGACTAATCCAAATAGAATTCTCTAGCTAATTTTAGGCAAGAAATCAATCTCTGTTAAATTCAAGATAATAGAAGCAGGGTCATAATGGTTGGAAGGAGAACACTGGCACAATTTAATAATTGAGACGAAAACCCCATGGTGTTTGACAAATATTGTGAAAGTAATCAGGACAGGGCACAGGACAGTGTCTGATATGTTCGTATTACTGAGTAGAATCTTAGTTTAAGTCAAACAGAAGCCAGGAATTTCTGGTTATTGGGGTGGGGGGAGAAAAATTAAAAAGGCTCTAATTCCAAACTACCTCTCCCACCTCCCTTCAAACTTGCCAAATTACCTACACTACTGTAAAAGTCAAATTTGGCTGATATACAGGAAGTAGCTTTGGAAGTCCAGGAACTACCAGTTAAAATATAAAATAGGTGTTGGCTACCAGAGTAGTCTGGAGAAAAAGGCAAAGCTGAATTATATAACGTTATTCCCAATGATCTAACAAA